CAAATGAAGCCAAAAAAATTTGAATTGAATCACAGATGAAAGATACGCTGAAAACAAATTAACAAATAACGAGTTGTTTTACTTTAAAGTACATTACCATTATTCGCTAATAGCAAGCAGAGTTAACGTCATACTTTTTTTTCATCGGAAACTGATAATTATTATACTGAATTCATTTATTCTCCTTATTATACGTCATTTATTTCAAGTATTTTTTTAAAATAATTACTTATCTGATTGACGTAAAATTTCAGCTGAGTCACGCAAATGCAAAGTAGTAGAATAATTACTCAATTAATTATCAGAGATGAATACATGTAGCATTGATTGTTTGCTTGCTTCAAATGAAGTAATTGTATGCATTATTAAAATGAACCGGTTTGTTTTCAAAATTATCAAAAATTAAGTATCTGTGATGTCGATGAGAAGTACAAAACATGCAGATTTCGCACAATAACAATGATAAAAATAAAAGATATTCATCATTAACGCAGAAACAAGAATCCGATCATCACTGTTTATATTTATGTCATAAAAATAACTCAAACAATTATGATTGCAAACTTTTATCATATTTTTGATGTAATTTCACAATTTCAATTTCGAGCACTTACAGCTGTTGGAGATCAAGTGGCGTAATCCACGTGAAGAAGAGGGACCACGACACTTATTATCCAACTACTCTGTTTCTCAGTGCTCAAGTAGGGACAAAATACAAAAATGCATGTCAACCATGCTAGAATTAAGCTGACTGATCGATCTTACATCCCTTCCAAACTTGTCACTCTTCAATATAATAAAAGTAATAGATGCACAGAAATGCACAATTTGGATACTGACTTTTTCGAAACAAAGTAATCTAAAGTATGCTTTATCATTCCGTTAAAGCAAAAAGTATATCAGAGTCAAAGCAGCTACTACTATGATAACGTGTATATTCGCCTTCTTCCAAGCTTACTTCGAAAACCTGCTAAATTGCAAACTCAACTCTCACATGCTGTTTCTAATGCAACACAATCAACGTCATTTTTCAACCTGTGAATTTATCACAGTAAGTATTTCAGCACTGAAGTTAAAAAGATGTCCCCGATACTTGATGTCAATATTAGATCACAATCTTCACTTTAGTGGTATGTGTGTAAGAAATTCGACTGAAAATTCGGAAGAATCAAAAATGAGAAGTGAAGATTGTGATCTAATATTGACATCTCGACCCCATTGCATCTTCCTCGTACTTTTCTTTCCATTTAAAAAGAATTTGCAGAAGACTAAAATAGGGATACAGTAGTAGTATATCTGTATGCACATATGTAGTAGCTCTTCACTTCTACATATATTTAGTTCTCACGCAATAAATCTGAGTAAAAAATAATCTCATTAGAAATTTTTAGTTGAACATGTTCTAATTTGATACCTCTCAATTGGTTAAATAATGACAGCCTTTTCTTTCCAATGAAGTCTTTTCAGTTTTCATTAAATGCAAAACTATAACGAGATATGAAAGTAAGTAGTGCTTCCTCTAATACCTATCACATGTAATGGAGTGCCCCATGCCTCCAGTATTTCGATGATTTATTCAGATTGTGCCCAAATAATGGCTACATTCTAGAATTGCTCCATTATTAATTTTAATTTCAGAAAATGTAAAAGAAAACAGACATTTAGAATAACAACCATTTCCTCGATAGCTAAAAAATGACTAAAAATTTAAATGTTGACAATTACACCAATTCCAATTCCATGACTTTCCGTCAATCATTAACTTTCTGAAAGCCAAATATCTAATACAGACTGGAACTTTAAACAAAGACATCTGCAACTGAAAAATTCCAAAAAACTGCATTAAATAAGATACAAAATTTTGCTCTCTGATGATTAGTAATTTAATAACCACTCCATGGAAGAGTCAAATGTAATTAAAGTCAGTAACGCGAAACAGAACTGAAAGCAGCTCTCTTAGCATCGACATTCTGTACACTCAAACTAAAAAAATTGTGCGCAGAGTGCCAGTAAGACGAGAAGAAAAACGATTTTTTGATCTTTCTCATGCCATTGCGATATGATAACAATTTGCTGGAGAAAAACCCGTTCACAAAAGCAATTTATTTAGTTTACTCAAGCATATTTCATGAATTCCAAATTTACTTAAGTTTCTTTTTCACACGTAAATCATTTGAATGTCCGCATTTCTTCTTACGACAATTTGTAGCGCGTGGAGGAAGACGAGCATAACACTGCAAACATAAATATTCAAAATTTCTTAGAGTTCAAATATTTATACCCAAAAGAAACTGTTGCTCTTATAATATGCTAAAAACATGTGATCAGAAATTATAACGGTAGAGACGATAAAAACTCCAATAATGAATAAAAATTATATTCATAAGTAGAGCTTATAGGAAAAAAAAGGCTGGCCATTTGAATCAAAATTACATTGTATTACATTACGTAATACTTTCATTTTTTGGCTATTACCAAACCTATAAAGAGAAAGCTAAATCAGATTTATGTATTACAGAACTAATAATAATTTAAAGTAGTTTGTTTGTTGCTAGTGGAATTTTTTAGATAATTTTGAATTCAAATCCACATATTTGCTGGCTTAACAGAATGAAATGTAAAATACGTCTATGAAAGTTAGGAATGTGAATGAAATATATGAAAATTTTCACTTTCTAACCTTGCGGCAAATTTGTTTCTCACAATTATATTTCTGAGCAAGCTGTCGAAGTGAAGGTTCGATGATACCACCACGAAGTCGAAGAACCAGATGAAGAGTAGATTCTTTCTGGATATTATAATCTGACAAAGTACGCCCATCTTCTAACTGCTTTCCTGAAACCGACATGCTCAGTATCTTGGACGAAAAAATGCTCATATTAAGATGCATGTTTATTACGAAACAATCATTCTACACATTAAATATTAAAAATCCAGGAATTTATGAATAAATCTGAGAACTCATGTCATGTTTGATTACATGCTTCGATCAATTTCAATCATACCAGCAAATATAAGGCGCTGTTGATCCGGAGGGATGCCTTCCTTGTCTTGGATTTTAGCCTTAACATTTTCAATTGTGTCTGACGATTCCACCTCAAGTGTAATTGTTTTACCAGTCAAAGTTTTAACAAAAATTTGCATCTTTAATGCTGAAAATAGAAAAGTTCACGATTTATGACATACAGCTCACAAAAAATGTCACTCAGCATGTAAAGAAACCACAACGGACCTATGACAACCACTGTAATACACAGCAATGACAAACAACTACTTTTTAACTCTAAAATAGACCCTCAACTGGTTTGAAGTGCATCATAGTGAAAGACAAATCCTATAGAACAATATGAAAACATTTTTCCCAAGATTTATATTGCACATTTTACTCTTCATGAGCATTTCATGGTAAGATTCGATAATGAATGAAACATAGAAACTTGTGACATTCCCAATATTCTTTTCATAAAGGAGTGAATAATCAAAGTAAATACGTGGAAAAAACACGTAGAATACAATGTTATATTTTTAATGCGAGCAAAAATCATATGTTTTTATCTAAATATGAAGAAAATAAAATTTGTTAATCACAGCTTGGGACGTTTGCTTCAATTCGATTCCTCTGCAAAAATTAATTAAAACCAGCTTGGAAATGACAAAGGGGAGCACTTGTGCTTCTTTCTTAGGTCAAATTACTGAAAGAATAAAACTTGCCATGCGTAGTGGATGTTTGCATGAAAGTCAGACATGAAAAAGATTGAAACTTGACGTAAGTCACCACCTGCTAGTCACTATGACTTTGTGAATGAATAACAAATGTTTACTGATATTGCTGAGTCAAAGCAAAAAAAAACTCTTTTGCTTTATCTTTAGATGTTTTATTGGTGTTTTATCTGTTAATTAATGATATTTCTTAGAAATTGTAATCGTATCAAACTTTGAAAATTATCAACTTACTGAAAGCTATGCGTACGTTTTTCTTACTTGAAAAGGGGCATGTTTTCGGTTGTGATATAATGAGACTGTAACATTTTTTCTCTTTACTTAAAACAATTAGTAATTTTGGAGATATAAATCATTAACATTTGACATTAAAGTCCTACTGTCCACTATTTTATTGATTGACTTCGTTCTACGATACATAAGTATTATGATGATTATTTTAATACTGAATCCAAACTAGTAAAAAATTTGAAAGATTAAATCGATGAACAATATGAAACCTCATCGTAACTATGTACAAATAAGCCTCCAAACAACTGTACGATCGGCAAGCTAAATTGTGGAACAAATTCGACCACTTCATTAGATGATTTAGTGCCATCGGAATCCCCCTGTCGATGACTATCATCGTTTGTCGACAAGTGATATGGTCGTTGCAACCAATCACGTTCTACTCCTCCCTATAACAAGTTGCTTCAAATAAGAATTACTGTAAGCACTGCATTTATACAGTAGCACAGCTTATTATGAATACTCTGGTACAGAACAGAAGTAACGGTACATGATATGATAGATCGTTTTTAGATCTCAAAAAACTTAAATTGTCGAAGTTATCTTCACAATCCAAAGTTGATCTATTGAGGCTAGCTTGAAAAAAATTGCCTAGCCTATAAATAAATGCTAATTATAATGAATGAGTGCTTCATTGCAAAAGATAACATCTTAATCTACTTCAAATTGATTGTAATCGCATAATGATAGAAATAAAAGTATTATGCTCGTTGACTGAAGAGGAAAAAAGACATTGTAATTAGTTTAGATGCTGTTAACTATGATTCAAAAAGAGTAAATGCTTTGTTTCTGGATGTACGCTAACAGTATTACTAATACGTATGTGATGATGTGAAGTCATTAACGTAATGACTGATTAATTACTAGAAGAGCTGAAGAGATAGGCAGGCAAGAATGAGTAGTAATGCAACTAACCTGTTGCGGTAGTTCAGAAAGCTGTGAAGTGAACTGAGAATTGGTGCTGATGTTGTGAGTCGGCAAAGTAGCGGTGACAGCATTAGAAACAGTCGATATAGGACTGATCTTATGCAAATTTGGTTGGGTAACTTTTGAAGTAGCATACTGCTGGCTAGATGTAGTGGCAGTAGCAGCAGTAGTAGCACTGCTGATTGACAAGACAGCATTTGAATTCAAAGTTGAACGAGATGGAACTTGCTGTGATGATGGTTGTACATGTGCAAATGATGGAGCAGCGTTTCTCAGCATTTCTCGCGTAATATTTTCACGTGCAGTTTGAGAAAAGCTTGAGGACAGAGGATGTTCAGCTTTTGCACGCAAGTTATCATGGTGAGATGGAGTTTGCCCTCTCATAGTTGCTGTATTTAGCAGATTGACGTGAGGTACAACTGCTGGCTGGTACAAGTTTGGTAAAGTGGGTTGTGCCGGTACAGAAGAAGGATACTGTGCAAATGGAGGTCGATGCAGTCTTGCAGGAGGCATAGCTTGTGGAACAGTTGGTTGCGTGGGGATGAATGTAAGTGGAGGTCTTGGCATAGGACGGTATGGGGTATTTGCCATTCGCATTGCCGACGGAGCTGGAAGAAACGGTGGTGTTGGGAGTGCAGTAGTTACAGATGGATTCTGCAGTAATGTTGGCATAAGTGCTGATACTGGGGAAGTTAAGGGTGGAGGTTGGGGATATAATGGAGGAGGTAAGATAGGACGATTTGTTGCTGTATAGAATCCAACTGGCGATGGTACGCGAAAAAGTGGTGCAAAAGACGGCGAACACGCTCTTGGCGGAAAAACTCCAACACATGGTGGTCGTGGCAGTAATCCTCCTATGAGATTTGGTTGCGCCGTGAAAGTGGGAGGGAGTGCAGTTGGAGGAAAGCCAGGGTTGACTACTTGTTGTGGATTATGAGGGACACTTCGTAAGGATTCTGCAGTTACATGACGCATTATTTCTGGTGCTCTATCCATTGGTACATTAGGGAAAGTAGCAGGAGGAAGAAATGACCGTTGTTGACCAGAAACTATAGGCATGCTGCCTTGTGCAGTGTTCGTCTTAGTCCGTGATTGAGATTTAGTCTTAGGCATATGAATCTGCTGTTGTTGTTGGTGCTGCCGCTGCTGATTTATCTCAACTAATTCCTTCTGACACATTCTTGATGTAATATTTTTCTGATTATATGCTTTTGCGGTTTGTTCTTGATTTCTCCTTTGCGACCCAAAACTCGCGCCATTTATTCCCGCATTGTACACCGATGATCCTCGTTGTTTGGATCTACGGTATGTCAGACGTCTTCGATATGATGTTTCTCCACGTGTTTTCGGAACATTCAATGTTAATTTCCTTGCCTCATTCACTCCACTATTGCTGCTTACCAGTGGTGAAAGTGATACCCTTGCTGCCACCATTTCTCGGGAATCTCCACTTTTAGTTTGTTTTAAATTTGTTGCTTGATCAGTGCACAGTTCCGTTTCCTCATTAGATGTTTTCAGTTGCTGGTCAGTTTGCTCATCCGATGATTTCTGTACGGAGGATGACTGCTTTTGCCACTGTGACATCTACTTTTTCTAGCAACTTTTCTAGGAATTATGCTGTGATTTCATCAAAATCATGAAAAATAAACAACTCATATACATCCATAACTTTGCTTGCAATATGCATACTTCCCTTACAACTGACGCCAACTCCTCTTTCCACATACTGTCTAGAGCATTATAACTTATTTGTATTGCACTAAAATTATATACTTATACTAATCCAGAACTCTTACCTCTCAGTCACGAAAATTCCTCTCAAGTTTATTACCAATCCAAATGCATCAGTGATGTCTAGTACTGCTTTCAGTTACTCGTATAAGAATTAGTGCAGTATCAGTGCAGAAATGGACGACGAGATCTTACCAACAATGACAAAATCGGCACCCTGAAGTTTGCGATCCTTGAGATTCAAGACGTACCACAACCCTCAACCTTCAACCTTCAACCACAACCACGCTATGATTTATTTCAAAAACAACCGAATACACATTTTCATTGCTTTTATAATACACATTTGCTTGTTGTTATGCAAATACGATTTTATGCATCCACCAATTTATGTAAATCAGTCTGAGTTGCTCAATTTATTGAAAAAGTGCAATCATAAGATGCCTCATTCTTGAAATGAAATTGGTACCGAGTGCAGTTAAATGTTGTACGGAATTTCGGATTTCGTCATATTTTGAAACAATTCAATGAAATAAACAGGATGAGTGAACAGTTTAGCAGTTCAATTAGTCATCATTCAAATATATCGTACACATCAGGCACATTGCAAAATATTCACGGATTTTCTGATTTTTTCATAAATTACAAGATAGTGGAGATAATGATTTAAAACTCACTATCTTAATCAATACATCTGTGGAACACTCACAAAGGTTAAAATAATTCACATTTATTAGATGAACGATGCTTGGTCAATTTGATGACTGTAAATTCATTAGTTACACTTCAGAAGCCGGATGAATAAAGAAATTCAACATTTTAGTAATTTATGAAAACTGAGAATCTCTGGCAAGCAATATACCCACATAACTGTCAATCATTCAACAAACTTTCTCCATTTCATTATGGTTAAAATGGAATACAAACTGTCCATCATCGCAAAAATTCGCTTCAAGTGTTACTGAAGCACAAGATAATCTTTTTCTTTCCAATTCCGGGAAAAAGTAAACGCCTTGCTGATGTGGAATGCACCATCTCGGACGTTCGCCAATTTCTGGGGTATTTAGAAGCCCAGTCCTAAGTTGATACCCATCATGCAACCAATCCATCCATAAAACAATAGCATTTGTACCGACGCTATAAAAGATGCCGCATTTTTCATATTTAGCTCAACAATGAGATGATTAATATCAGACAAAAGATTATCTAGTACAGTACTAGATTCAGCAATATTGATTTTAAAAATAGTCTTTTGCATGTCTTATGAAGAGCCTAATAAGAATCAGTGCTAAAAACTTACATGGATGAGGTGATATCAACTTTAAAAGTGGCTGGAACAGGTCGTTTACTGAAATCTAGACGAGCGACAGCTACAGCTTTTCCAGTGACGATAGATGGGTATTCCCAGAGTGGCTGAGGTTCAACCATAGCGTCTACAGCACTTCGAGCCTTATGAGTTAAATCGCCAAATGGAGTCAAATCAAAATTTTGAATAATACCAACTGAAGCAGCTATTTTCCATAAATTTTCAAATTTCACTGGTATTGCACACATTAATCCTTCCTGTAAAAAATTCTTGTGTTTCTATACCATAAACTTCGTTCATTACAATGATTCATTTGTAGTAGAGAGTTTATTCCAATTACTGTAATAACATTAGAATTGCACAATTTTCATTAAGAACGTTTAAAGTGAATTTTACAAACCTTTGGTGAAAGCAATACATCTCCAACTTTCGAAGAGAGTAAATGCCTGTGTATAACAAACCAAAAGTGCAAACTATGCCACGGCAAAATAGAAAAAGTGTCAAACGGCTCCGATAAAATTGCATCAACCTTGGAGTAAAGTAGTATCATGTTAAATATGAATGTAAAGTAAAGTGTCATGTTAAATATGAATGTAACTAAATGAGAGGGCGAATAAACTGTTACAATGCTTTCCAACACTGATGTTTGGATACAAATTAACAAAAATTTTCCAGAAAATTTACATCACGGCTTACTTGATTGAGCGAAGCAGAAGTATCATCAGAAAGATAAACATTTTTGATATCATTTTCATCAATAAAAGATGAAACTAATTGGGTAAATGAAGGATCCAATTCAACAACCTGCACCATTTTTGCATATTTTGCAAGCATTAAGCTTACCAAAGATCCGCCATCAAAACAAGCTACTGTTTTTCCAGTAAAATTCTGCAAAAAATGTGACCATTTGAATGAGTGTTTCCGTCACAAAAATTTTCGTATTAATAAACATTATCGTAGTCAGTTGAAAAAAAAGAACCACTATTATTCTATGAAAGATGCGAAAAATATTATACTTTAGAATGAAGAAATTATTAATTAGAACTGCCCGCATTATTATTTTCAGGCATTAACTTAGTATATTTCGAAAGTTTCTGTCCTTGCAAGCTATTTTCCTAAATGTTTCAAATTCAACATAGTATGCATTATTAATGACAAATAAAAATGAAATCTCTTTCAGTCATGTTACGGATAAACTATCATGATGCAGTACGCAAATTTAATTTTATGATGAAAATTGTAGTGATATAACGTGATTTTACCTTCTTTAAAAATTCTTTGAAGTGAATGTCATCATCACGTTCATTTAATCGATACATAGTATTTCGCGAACAAGCACAATGTATTCTACATGTACAATATTTTGCCAGAGAAACCTGTGGTCTGAAAATGTAAATCACGGTGAAGCAGTATTCAAAATACAGAATGTCCGTAATAAAATGATTTTGAAAGAAGAAAATAACTTCGGCTGGAAAATTGAAACGTACTCATCTTGATAAATATCAAACCGAAAAGAGAATTCGTCGTGTGAACACGAGAGCGAAATTAACTGATTCTTTCGAACTTTAATACGTTTAGAAGGATAGTAAACACCTTGCATCCAATGATCTCTCCATTTTGCCTCACTATTCCACCATTTTGGAGCAGTGCTTAATATAATTGTTCCTAAAAATTATTAAGAACTCATGATTAACAGAACAGAAACTTTGCAGTCACTGTCTTCACTACAACTCCAAACAATTTTAAGAATGAAATTTCAATAAATCTGAAGAAATCAAATCAAAATATATTATAACTTGACACACTAACCCTTGCCATCCATATCGAGTTCCCACCACATTAAAATTGCTTCCAACGTGCCATCTGTTTGAGCAGTGAAAGTTTTGATAACTGTTTCCCGGTATTTAATAGACGGTCCATCTTCAAAATTAAAACTAAAAAGAGGTCTCGCAGTAAGAAAATCAAAATCTTTCAGTAACAATGAAAAAATAATGATAAATTAATTCTAACGCAGTCAACAAATGTAGATCAAAATAAAGAATCATATTAATGGAGTACCAGCTGAAAATATGAGGGACTGCAATCTTTGTTTATATTGAATATATTATAAAGAAAGATCTTTTTTATTACCAGAAGTTATGATGATAGAGCGAAAAATTGTTAGATTGTGAGAGTTAAGGAAGAAACATTCGATATTTAAAGCAACCTAAAAGTTATGAAAGGCGAAGTAAGCAAGGTAATTTTATCCATGGGAACTTCCGATAGTTGTATGTCATGCACTGCTCCTGTGCCTGGGCAACATTTATTAGGTTCTGGAATTTTAAAACCGCGAAAAGAAAATTTATGAAAACGCGAGAGAAAATCACTTTGTACAGGGACAATGTATGTTCGAGCCGATGATGGAACAACTCTACAGCCAGGCTGAAAATATTTCACTCATGTTTTTGGTATTTAATATAAGGTAAATCTGCAAAATTTTAGTTATAAAAAAAAGTCTCGCAGTTCGATGGTAGTCTTATCTGCAATCCATAATTAATTAAAAAAGTTGGGTCTTGAAATGCATAAATAGGAGAAATGAAGCAATTTGTAATGGCAGACACAATAACAGAAAAATAATTACAAACTTTGGCCAACTTTTCATGTGCTTCTTTGAAAGTACGCAGTGCACCTTCTCCAATCAACTCAGTGTCGAATACTTCAGAAACAATAATGTGTCCTTTTTCAAAAGTATTTACTGCAAAAGAAAAATAATTTTTTCTGGACTGAATTTATTTAAATGATAAAAAGAGAAGCATTCCAACATTCTTCATTCATGAGTTCCGTGGATCGTGAAGCGACCAAGCGTATCTTCCCCTCATAACCGTTTTTCATGATGATTTTTTCTGCACAAGTTGCGATTGGTTTCATCATTTCAATGGCCGTAACACAGTCAGCACCAGATCGCATTGCCATCATTGAAAGTAATCCAGTACCAGCACCAATATCAACGACGTGAACTCTTTTTTCTTTTCTTTTAAGCTGAAAAAAGTTTAATTTCTACAAAAAACTATTTTAAAGTTATAAATTTAAGGTTTAAACTTTTTTGTAAAAAGCTTTAGAAAATATGAAAACAGCCAACAAGTATGCATCAATTATGGAATAATTTAAAAATACTCCATATAAAATTAATATTCTTTCCTATCATACTCATATTATAGAGGATTCATTTTACTACGATACAATAAGTACTCAAAAAGAGCGTAAAGATAATTCAAGAAATCTGCATACCTCACTGATCACTGATCTCAGAGCAAGTTCGTATTTCTGATTTCTTTCAAAATCATGGACCATGTCACCATAAGCACTGCGAGCAATTTCTTGGGCCAAATCATAATCCTCATCGGCAACTTTCCAAGTTCGCTTTCCCGAAATGGGGTCAACTATTTCCACAAACATCTAAGTTTTTTAAGTTAAGCCATAAGGAGTGAGAAAACAAACACTTAAGAGTCAGCATAGTAGGCACTGAACATTTTTATTTAGCTAAGAATCCGTTATGAAAACTGGACTGAACAAACTAATAGATAGTTTATTGTGTTTCTGAAGTACTTCGAAATTTGTAAAAATGAATTCATCTAGCATAAATGGAAAAATCATTAAAATAAACCTTCGTCCTGTGCTCGTTAGAAAAACAACTTCGTATGCTGATTCCACTAATCGCTTTCAAAACTTTTGGTAGAAAATGCTTTAGCACAAAAGCCACTTCTGCAAGTTGATTTTAAACATGAAAGAAAAAATCACCCCAAAACATTTCCGAGAAAACTAGTTGTAAGTTGCTTGCTGAGAGCTGGAATTTTCCAATCTTCTCTAATACATTTGTGTATTATGCACTTTATCATCCAGTATTTCGCATACAAAAAATAAAATTAACAAAATTAACCAAAGCAGCAATACAGCTCCTAAATAAAAATAACGATAATACATAATAAATAAAATCATACTCTCACTTTTAAAAGTATGTAAAAAATCAAAGACCTCACAACGTTCCTTTCAACAAATATAAGCTGAAAAACATCTACATATAAAAGCTACGCAGATTTCATTCCCTTTAATTACAAAGAAACTAAATTCACTAAACAAACAAATTACTTCAAATGCAAACAAGTATGAAAATCCATTTTAACAGCCGTGAAAAAAAAAAGAAGAAAAATATCGGTTCATGATCAAATCTCATATGAAATATTTTGGTTTTCTTCTGTTCTATACTCACAAAATAATGACAGTTTTTTTAAATGAAAAATACAACACAACATATAACAAGGAAGAGAACTCATATTTTTGTTGATTAAAACAAAAACTACGATGCCAGATCAACATTAGCTAATGCCGCAATGATTTCATTATTTCTACTCGTGTTTTGCTCCAGTGATTTCATATCAATATTTTCCTTCGACTCCATACAATTTCCATTTTGTTTTCCATTGTTAAATTTGTTGCAAAACATTTTATGATTAGACCAATCTAACCTTTGGCATTCAGAATGGCAATAGTATACATTCTGAAACAATACCAAACTCAATGAAACTGATTTCGATAGTAAAAGCAAAAACAAAGAAGTATTAAAAAAAACAAAGTTTAAGACAAAAAGGGTTCTCGGCTTCTCATCAAAACTGGAATTCCGATTTAAAAACAACGGGATTGACTTTTATATAAAAAAAGAAAACCAACATTGCAGCAGCGTTTTGTATAAGTGATAGCACCACATGTTGCACAAAAATGAGATGTTTCTACCATTCGCTGCCCCGAAAAGACTACCATTATGATGTGAAATGCATCCGGTAGATTCCCCTAAACAATGATTCCAAAATTTTCTATTTCAGATTTTTCTTTAAACAAAGAAATGAACTTACAAATTTTACCGCCGCGAGATTTTTAACGAGGGTTTGAAAAAGTAAGCAGTGATGATATGGAAATGCCTGAACAGCACTTCTCAAATAGCGTTCAAAATTCGGTCGTATCTGATCACTTCGTTCCATTTTCAACAGTTGTTTTGCATAACTTTTAATTAACGCTTTTGCATTATACTTTTTTATATCTTGCATTCCTTCCAAAAATTTGAATACATCGCGCACAGTGTATAAAACTAACCATAATTTCAGTGACATAACCTAAAAATAGAAAAAACTGAAGCACTGAAAAACATTAAAAACCTTGAAAAATTATTTAATACAATTTTTTACATAACTATAATGAACATTTCCTATGAAAAATCCAACGTCACATTCCACTTTCATCCATGCGCAACAATTGAGTAATTAAGATTATTGAAGTTATCATGTCATCATCACGAATAAAGGACAGAATGGAAAGGGTCATCTTTAACTGACGCTCTAATAAGGGGAAAAATGCCAAAATCAAAAGTTAAAAAAAGATTTAGACCGAAAAATTGCAATCATTGGTTGTAGCCTATCTAAATTTAATCGACAGCTAAAATAGGAGAATAATCCCAGATACTGTAGTGTTTCGGGCAAAATTTTCACCCTACATTTTTTAACTTTTCTGAAATAAGTATCAACACACTGATCCTTAATAAATATATATCAACAGTTCTTTGACGAAGAAACCATATCTGTAGGACTTCCAGAAAAATAATTTCATCATTTTGGATATTTTGAAATCATCAAAGTTTTGTAATGTTTTTTGCACTACTTACCAAGAAATTGAAAAATTTAAGAGAAAATACGCTTGTTCAATATATTTCATAAAATTTCACGCAAAAATTATTGTGTCGCTATGAAGAATTTTCCATGCAAGTAAAAAGAGATTGTAATTTGCAAACCTCATTGGATTGCTTGCATCGCAATTGCCTTTCGAAAACCCTGTCTAATACATAACAAAACTTTAGATGATACGGCCATATTATATCGTAATGATCGCGTATAAAAAACATGACCTAGGTAGACAAAAATTTATTTTTTGAAAGACCCAAATTTTTTTACATTACACTTTTAAAATGACCATTCGCATTAAAATAATAATTAAAAAGAGTCAAGTCAGGGAAATCATTTAAATAATTTACCCAGACAGGATGTATGAGATGAGTTTTAATCAGATCATGTAGTGCTTGCGAGAATTCCTTCGGATAAACTTCATCGCTATCATTTCCCTTAGGATGTAATAACTTTTCAATTTCATCCATTTCTACATAGCTATTGATAATACTGACACACTCATGTTGTCCTGCAAAATATTTTCAATTCACAGCATTTTTTATCATAAAAAACAACTAAATCATAATTCCTATCGAAATATTAAAGAAACATTTTGCATTTTTAAAGAGTTCAAGATATAAAAAAATATAATTTTATGAAAAAATCAACTCAGCTTCAAAAATGGTTGAAAAATTCCACTAAATAGTAATCAGATAAATACTAATTTTTCATTTTTATGTCGAAAAAAACTGCAAGAAAAAAAAGGTTTTTAAGGATTTATTCACGAGACAAAAATAATTTCTTATTAATAAATATACAAAATGTAAGCAAACCGACAAAAGCCGCCATTTCTGCTGCTGTTTTGCCAACAGAATTTGTTGAAAATGCATGTGCACCATAATCTAAGAGCAGTTGACAGATTTCTGCAAAATCAAAACTAGCAATAATGGTGAATAATGAAAATCCTGCCTTAATCACACATATCAAAAACTGATTCAATATTACTTATATAAATATCATTTGAGAGCTAATTCGTAAGACTATTTAACGAAGAAAGTAAACCTTGATGTCCAGCAATTGCAGCAAACATAAGAGATTTATAGCCTGAATCATGATCGCATCTATTAGGATTAACGCCATTTGCCAACAAAAATTGAACAACATCTGCAAGACCAGACCAACTGGCTTGGTCTAAAAGTGACATCCCAGTCTGAAACAATACTTACATTGGAAAGTAAAAAAAAAGGAAAAACCAGGAAATCCTTAAAATATTCATAATATAAACCACCCGACTAAGTCATCATATCATAGCAATCTTTTTCTGTCCAATTAAAATAAAATGAAGTTTCAGCATAATTGATTCCAATAAACACGCCAACTAATACTTCGTTCATAAATTAAACCAACCTTATCTACTACGTCAAGTGAAACTTCTTTATTGTTCAATATTTGTAGCACTTCATTCGCATTTTCTGAATGAATAAAAATGAACAACTACTTCTGCAACGGTTTCATAATAAAAAAGAAAACCTTCTTGAACATAAGCACAGATTGTTCACGCATAAAACGTGCACAACTTCATGACTATTTTTCAGTGATAATCGTCGCAATATTACGAATTAAACAATACATAGCAATTACTTTCTACTTTCAACAAAATCTGAAAATTTGCTAGAAATCATGAAAGCAGCAAAAAATATGAAGACGAATAGCAACATGAGATATTACTTTCTTTGATTAGATTAAATACTCTTTCCACAGTATTGTCCGGATCACATCTAACAATACTTGCTGCCTCATTTGAACTATCCATCCAAAAATCTAAAAATTCCAGTCCTGAAAAGCAGAATAAATCGCTCTTTGCACAAAACAATAAAATAATAAATACCTCTGTATTAATATTTTTTGAACATTCTGTATGAAAATGATGCAATTCACCAAATGTGATTATATGAAAGTATACTATTTAAGAACTTGTGGAATGAATGCTTCATATCCACTGAACTTAACTGAAATTTGAATGATAATAATAGCTGAATAACAAGCAACATAAATAACCAAAACCATCACACATTAAAGAGAATGGATGGTGTATTTTCATAAAATAGAAAATAGATAAAAGTTCAATGCGACTTAGTTAGCACACAAAAGTTGTTACTAAGGTTACATAACATTTGCTAATGACGATTAGCTTTTGTTTGAAGCAAAAATAATTTATTTTCTCATGCACAAACATTTCAACGGGATATAACTAATGCGAAATAAACCCTTCAACAGCAGTTTACGTCTAGAAATACTTGAATGGAATTTTACAAAGCTTCTCAAAAGAAAAAATAGTATTTGAATCTAAGCTATTTCATCTACAGAATATACTAGCTGTTATATAGGTGTATAAAACCTTGTGCTCTGAGGTACAGGTAGCCAGTTCTATAATAAATTGAATTTCCTAGAGTAAAATAATATCAATATCAATATATATATCAAAAAATAATCAAATTGAAAGAGCAAAACACGTTATAATCTAAATACTAATACAAACTATTAAATATTCCAATGCAAGAAGATAAACATATTTCAAATCCCTGACAGTCTAGTCATCAATAATTGATGTGAAATTCATAAGCCAAATTTCAAATCTGATAATGATGACGATATCAATATAGTGACCACATGAGAAAACTTTTTATCATATTTGGAATAATGCTTTATGCGCAAAACCTTGACTGTGTAAAAAAAAAAGACAAAAATTTAGATAAACTTAATATGCTATAACTCTACTCTACTGAAGAAACCAACTTAAAGTGCAAATTTTCTTAAAGGACACTTTTTGATCTATCTACGGAATGTGTGACTTTTTCACCACTGAGATATCTAAGAGTAAGCAAGCTAATGTTGAACGCATTCACTGCATGAAAAAAACAATTTAAAAAGAGCGGTGAAAAAGCTTATTATCATGCTTGCTATCCAGAAACTTTACCTAGGTGATTGCACGAATTTCTGATTTCGTCGAAAAATTTCTCGAGTGAAATGGTATTTCAGCACTTCAAATTTACATGTACTTGGAATTATACTTCCGTGAAGTAGAAAGGATAGTCTTATCGAGAACAGTCGATGACTGATTTGGTTCCACTTGGAAAGTAATTTTTACATAAACGAAACATCGAAACAAACATAATTTCCTGCAGTAAGACACAAAAAATATATATCCAGCTCAAAATCAATAAATCTAAAATTTCTCTCCTTACAGTAGAAACAAACCTTAATATTCATATTTTCTGCACCAACCATTCGAACTATTATTATTACAATCGACTTATGTAAAAGGTTATAACTGAGTCGTTTTTATACAGACAAGAGAAAGCTCTATTTGAGAAATATATGGTAGAAAAGGAATTTGGAGGAAAATGTAATTGAAATGACTGCAAATGCACAGAGTTTAAATATGTTAAATTTGTGAAAATTTCCAGCAAATCTTAATCATCAGCGTCAAGCCCGCAGTAAGCACCGGAGCTAACTGCATCGGTCAACTCAGTCGTTCCTAACTTTAAACGGTCACGGATAAGCTGAGCAATTGCACGTTCTGTTCTTCGTTCCAATTTTTCTAACTTTGCTGCAACATCACGTTTCAGATCCCAGTCAATCTGCAAAGAAGAGCAAACTCTTAATATAGAGAGCGTACAATATATTAATATGCACCGCACTATTTCTCAGTAACGCTTTCTACTTTTTTGAATCTCAAATACTGTAGTGCAAAGTAGAACCTTTCGAGGTGCTAACGTCGTGATATCGATTTTTTCCACAACCGAAGTGTCGTGAGTCTCAACAAAGTGATCCGCAATTTCCTTTTCAACAGTAAATAAGTCTACACCATCATTCTTATCACCTATATCACTTTGCGGTTCATAGTTGCGAAATGTAAGTTTCATCTTATTAGATGATTCAGATTCTGCATCCTCTGGAAGATATGAAAATAGAGAGAAGAATATAGAAAAACTCTATTAGTTCCATTTTATTTAGAACTCAACTAGTAATTTTATTAGACAGAAACTACCCCTAGTGCAAAACATACGAATACAGTATCACTCTCCCATGAAAAACTAGTTCAAAACACTTATATTGAATACAAAAGAGCAATTCTTAGATGTTTGCTTAGGAATTACAAGATCAAATACAAACCTTTTTCTAGCACTCGATCACGCATTTCTCTCAACTTCTGCTTCCGTTCAATTGCAGCCTTTTCCAAAGAAATGCTATTCTCAGCAATGTCTAGTGGCTCCTCTTCAACTGAAACCTCCATCATCTCCGATTTCACTTTTTCATCAGATGCCATCTCGAACCTAATTCATGACCCTATTATGGCATATGATAGATCTCCTTTGAAAACTTTCTTGCTAACTGTGAGATAACCACTTCCATTTTGGACAAACACAATATTTGAAATTTTAGTTACCACCAAAAATAATGCCACTATATTATTTCATGTTACAGGCCTTATTTGACATTTCTAACAGTTTGTTTTCAACACCAGAATTCAGGATATAAACCCAAATGTACAATGATTTGAAATTCAGAAATCTTTAAAATACTTTCATAGCATAAGAAAAATGTACTCAAACGCCTCCAACAGGATATGAATGAACTGAAACAACTTGATCACACACAATGAAGTTCCTCACGAACAGTTTTTATAGCACTGCAAAACAAGTACACAAACAAATAATGAGGACGAAAAACCTCAACACAAAAATATGTGAAAAATGCATACAAATAACGTTAAATGATGACTTAGATAGAATATTCAATGTTGCGTTCTCTCAAATACTTGTAATAATCCTTCATTTTGTCCCAACCATCCTTTGGTACCCATCTGTTCTTCATTCCTGGCCCATCACCTTCTTCCAGTCTGAAAAAGTATTAGTATTCAAAAATGCTCATTTTTTCAAAAGAACTTCATTACATTTATGCTGAATAAATGTTTTCTCAAGTCACAAATTTACCAAAAAATTTTCGTTATCCTTCATTAGTTTAGTTAAAAAGAATATTTAAGAACATAATCTAAACTAATTTGTAAATCTTCAAGACACTTTTTCACTGCACATGTAAAATGGTAGAATAACAAAAAATGAAGTCACTTTTTACACTGAGATGCTGTACTTTTTACACACTACATAGAAAAAATAAACTAATCTAGCAAAAACTATTAAACAACACCAGCAGCTCGGTATTATTTACCTCATTTGATTATTTTCAGGCAGCAATTACAATAATATGCATCTGAAGTACAAAATTTTAACCTGACAAAAATATTGATATATCGGTATCGAGTTACTGTGATACGTTCACGTGCATGACGCCTGAAGCCTTTAACGATTTGACACTGTATAGGAAATGCCTCTGCGACGTGCATATCAGATGGAAACTCGATGTGAAGCTCTCTTGCTTTCTTTTTCGCTTCAACTAGAGCCTGACTTAAAATCATGCAAGCCTGAAAAGGGATCTCAGAATTCAAAAACTATTAAAACTCTGTGAGTAAATAAATTTATTTTTCCAATCACTAAATTAGAGCATGCTATATCCATCAAAACATCTGGTAAGTCAATTATTATTTCTGTCATATGATCAAGAATGAATAAGAAAAAATTCACCACATGAATTTCTACAATAAAGAATAGTTTGATACCCTAGAAAAGTTTGAAATAAGTAAACCTTTTTTCGCTGAAGCTTTAACTGTTCTAAGGCTTCGTCAACATTCAAACGCCAAATTAATTGACAAGCCATAAACATTCTCTTCGGACTGCAATGAATTGATTCACGACAATAATATACTTGGCGCAAAAGCGGCAAACCTGTTTGAGGGCTCACATAATTTGGTGGCCAAACGACCTATAACTAAGTAAACAGTTGGGAGGAAAGTAAATGAACACATTAAAAGTTTTAAAGCAGTTTTCCTCTAACAAATTGGTGAACCAGTCAACTGAGAGTCACTGACGTTCCATTTCAATTTAAACTGAGCTTAAAAAAGACATTAATGACTGACAACAGCTAAGATAACTTTAAAAAATCTCCGACTCATAAAAAACAGTCCTTTTTGGGATGTAAATTTGAAAAATAACAAACAGCAAATATAATTTTTGCAAGTTTTACATTGTCAACTATTTTGCTAAAAAATTTTACTTTATAAAAAAATTTGGAAGTTAATTTACATGTCTTAACAGGACTTGGAAAACGAAGCAAGCTTACCTTGTTATAATAATTCCACTTTTCTGGAGTCATTACATCTTGATCAATCAATGGATGTGCTTCACCATCTTCTCCATCATGCCGTTTACTCAAGTCCCATTCAGGAGCATAATATACCTTTGGTTTCACCTGAAAATAATGTTGAGACGAAAATTTAAATCCTTTCGTAAATAACACTGTAATTCAAAATTAAAAAAACACCTAAAATAAAAAAAAACATGTTGGATACTTCTAACTTTTATCTCACATTTTAATTCTTAAACAAGAACTAATTTACTTCCTCATCACATTGTAATTTTGGTTGTCTAAGTTGTATGCGTCGTTTCCAAGCTTCTTCTACAGGAATCTTAGTGCCAGGATACAACGTCATTGTATTTTTTGTTTCATGACATTTTCGAGATATCAAAAAATATGAAGTTGACGGTGCTATATGCCCCAAAGAATATTCCAAACAATGGTGCGATTTTAATAAAGAAAAACCCAAATATTTCAACATCTTCAATTGGAATAAATCAGTGCTCATCAATAGTCATTAGCAAGAACATCATCCTTCTAAAAAAGCATTCATCAGAAAATATGTCTTCTAAAACATAAATATGAAAACAACTACAGCCATGCATTAAACTCAGTACTTGTTTCAGTTTGCGGCAGCATGTCAGTTTTAAAGTCGGGTAAATATGGAACAAGTAAAGTCACATCTAAATACTTGGAATTCAAAAAATCACTTATGAGATTTGTTCAACAGAAGAATCATAAGGCAGAAAATCCTTATGTTTTCGATTTTTCAAAGTTAGCATTTCCTCTCGGTAAGCAATCGAATGATAAACATACACTTCCCTTGTAATAATATTCTACAGTTACGTCGTAAAAATAATCTCCGACAACTATTTACGACAATTATTGTGAGAATGACAGGAAAGAAAACTTAGCTAACTCTAAACTACTTAGCATAACTATATGAACTGAATCAAGTTAAGAATCGCTAGATTCAGAATTCAAACAATATATGAATATAATCCTCTGTTTCATGAATAAAAGAAAGTTTTCTGAACCTTCCAAGAGATCAAAATTTCTACATTCTTTCATGGCTGTTCTCGGAATATTTTGTAAGTTAATGTTTACCTCAAATTTTTAAAGTTGTGAAGAAGTTTGTAACTGAAGGATTCAAAAACTTTCAGTCTGTCCTTTCAGTGTGACACAGAATGTGTCATAGTGTTGTAAAAATAAGTTGAAAAATCCAGGAAGCAATGTTTTGATTCAAAGGTAAGCGTATGGCTTAGTCCATGTGAGTGCTTATGGCGTGAAAAGTCGTTAAATCAGCTTGATTTTTTGCAAAATTCAGGCCAGATGTTCTTCTGTCATGTAGATCCATTGTGAACTTTCTGCGTCAATGTGACGAAAGTAAATAGCACGGTATGCAACTTCAGAGATAGTTTGAAAAAATTGGACCTTTTGCAAAGTTTACAACTGTGTATTGACGTTGATGAATGCTTGCGAGCATTATTTCAGTCAAATCAAACAATAAAATTACCAAGAAGATCCGAGAATTATTCAAGTCTTTTCTATAATTTGAATACAAAGTTCTCAATCCCATCGTAGTAATAAGGTTATCAAATATGTGCAATAAATGCTTTCGAAATTTTTTCTTCACAATAAATATCTCGATTGTAGAAGCAAATCTTTCAACACTTCACATAAGATGTACACTATTACTTCCATGTTATGGGTGAATAATTCTACTGGATTTAGCAAAAAATCTGAAAATTGATTCGACTGAAAATGCTAATCATGTCAGACGCGTATTACTAGTTAAGGCTAAATCTGCTGTAAATTTATTTATAAATTACTGAAGAACAAAAAACACCGCATCTCCACTGCTTAGTTAGTTCAATGTTAACCAGTGCAAGAAATAAAGTACCCACCGAAGTGTTAAGGAAAAACAGGCAGTTAATGAGACAACTGGACTCGAGTCATGTGTTGAATATATATACACCGAAATAAACCAGGCAAATCACTTCACAAACTAAGAACGGCCACGTACCACCAACCACCGAATCATGGAAGAGCTTTCAATCTGTCAGTCCTTGTGGTGTCCGGGTCAGGTTAGTTTTCCCCTGTTCAGCCAAAATTAAACCATAGGCTCCACTCCTGGTAGTGCTATATATATATATATATATGAATATGGATATTAGAAAAACGAGTTGTAACTTGAAATTCCTCTTCTTATCCAAATATCCTCTTACAGGGTTTCACTGGCATGCTTTAATATGTGAAAGAATTACTTAAGAAACACGACAACAGGTTAGGAGTAAAGTAGTCGGCATATAATGATTATTATAATAGTTTCGGTAAAATAACAGGATACCAGCTTGTGAATAAGTTTTACAACATATATATCTATGAATTAATCTAGGAAACATGAATTTCTACAAAAGACAGAATGATAAGGATTGGAAACAACATAATTATGGAAGTGAGAGTAAAATGTATATCAAGTATCTAGAAGACAGATAAACTACTACCTGAAGGAACCCAATGACACAAAGCTTGAAAGGCTTCTATTTTGAAAAACAATGATAGATTTCAGTCATTCCTTTTACAATTATACATGCGATGGAGTTGCTTTCATTTTACTACCTCGTCATACTTTAAAACACAAAACATTTTCATGAGAAGCCAGATTAGAACACCTAATTCTTATCATGTAATACAAATCATTCACTAATAAGGCACTTAAGAGATACGCTCAAGTATCTGGAATTAGTAGAAATAGCAATCAATTTTACATCTATTCCCCAACTAAAGAATCATGGTACATTTCTTATAAAAAAAAATCAAATTCCGGGCAAAAACTAAAATAACATTCAAAAATTGATCATTCACACAGTGCAAAAGCTTCTAAGATTACTACTGTTTGTAATTGCGGTACAAAACGCCGCAGAAATACAAAAAACATGACTCGCTTTCGATCAAGAATGAAGTCCAAAAGTAAGAACTAACATTTAATGGCGCGCAACAATCGTACCATTATTATCTGAAAGGAAACAGACAAGACTGATATCTTATTTCTATCTTTTTATAATGAATCCATCTTCTACAACTTCAATATAGCTCTCAAAAAAGATGAACAATGAACGAGTGAAACCAGATCTATGTTCATATAATTGATATATCGATAGGTAAAATAAAATAAATTTTGGATTTACTAAAATTCGGATTGAAAACATACTTGGAAACTTCCCAAACAATTTAATCATTCAACAACATATTAATGGATGCTTTTGATGCTTTCAACGCCTTATGCTCCAAGGTTAAGCCTATACAACTATACCAGACACAAAACCCAATTAATAATGTAAAGAAAAATCGCAATATCTGCATCTGAAACATAAAAATAGAGTAAGCTGATAGCTTTATCAGTATATTGCTATGCAAAGGTTAGTTAATAAGTAAGCATTAATTCTGTGTTAGAACATATTAGAAAACGGTAAAGTTAATCTTAAATAATTTGCAGACATTGCATTCATTTACTTCAGGACTGATTTTAAACAAGAGACAAATTAATTTTGGAGTGATTAACAGAATTTTTTTTGAGTACCTAGTAAAAATTGGTAAAAATTGTAAAAATTTTATTTCTTTCTTTTTTACCAAAATATTTTGATAAGCTACTATTGAAGTTATATTATATGAATATGAGAAGAAAAATACACCAATCAAAATTTTACTTTTTTACATTGTGATGAAGTGAAACTTTACCAAAAATGTACTGTTTAAACTAACCCCAACTTTGATAGAAGGAAAATATATATCGAGAAAGAATGTAAGCAAATTTATTAGTGCTAATAGAACAACAAAGCCGAAGAAAATTCGGCGATCGAAAGTAATCCTAGATAATCCTTGTTCTAAAATTTGGATAACCTCTTTCAGCAAATCTGATGAGACCGGTGACAACTCCTTTGTAATCTGCAAGCATAAAAAGTTAAAGCTTTTCTAATACTACACAGAAAAGATAACGAACATTACAAAATAAGTCGAAATTTCGATCTTGAAGACGAGAATATAACTAATCTCTGAATATTATTTAAAAATTTGCAAAGAACAAAAATATGATTCAAAAATTTTCCGTTCTCACTTCCCCTCAAATTAAGCATTCATACAAATAACAGGACAAAGATTTTTTGAGATTCAGTAAAATGCATCTGATGCGATGAAAAAGGCAAAAAATTTAATTGAAACGTTAAACTTGGACGCTGTTATGGTGGTCCGACACAACAAATTCGGCGCAAATTCCAACATGATCGCTATAGTTTAATTTTTCTCCAGGTATGCAGTTTAGCGCTATTTCGCATAGTTTCGTTTCTATATTACCTAAAATGGCGAATGTATTTAAAAAATTTGAGATCAAGATGACAATTATTTTCTAACATATATTTCAGAAAGAAGGAACAAGATTTAGTGAGCGAAATAAAATTTCTTCGTGGATCAAAAATGACTTGATAATTGAACATAACCATGATCATCAAAAACACAAAACTGAAAGATTTTACTTCTAACTCTGCGGTACATTACATAATCCAAACGCTGTCCACTGAATCCTTTATTTTTCTGACTCTGTGGAGTGTAACAGTTATCGGCTCTTCCGTATGTTGCTCCACAATCTTCAGTAAAATTCTATAATAAATTACTTTCAGTTTTCGAAAATCAAATGTTCGGGCTTTAAACTCCGCATGAAACTGAAAATTAGAAATTCAACAATAATTCGTGTCAAAAAACTCTGAATTAAGATTGAAATGAAACTGCAACTGCATCTCGCAAGCTTAATAATGCAAAGTCTCTCAACTAAAAGCAGTACTAAAGATCATATTGAATGACTGGATACTAAGTTCTTAAAAATTGGGTATATTTTGTCAAAAAAGCCTTTCAAAAATTTTAAATAACCCGTAAATTTCAAGCAAATGCTTATTAATTACCGGCTTTTGAACCCAAGCATCTAGCAAATTTGCGTTCTTCATTATTAAAGAGTAAGCTAAATCATCGGGTTCAATATTAAAGTCACCTGAAACCAATTAATTAACAAACAAATTCAAAAAACTTCAATTACGCAAATATAGCTTTTCGCTGACACCAAAATAAAGAATGTAATTATTAAGAAGAAAAAGTTGGTCTACAGTTTTTATGAATTTTGGCTGTGATAAAGGTGATATAATAAACGTAAAGTGAAGATATCAGTTGAAAGAGGTAAATAATAAACAAAAGCTGTAAAGAGGCAAAAAACAAGATATAAATTGGTGAGCCAAATGAACTGAACAGTTTAAATTTGATTTTAATAGATATATAATGGATAAACTTCTCATTTTATTCACGAATAATCGGAAATAAATGGCATTTATATACGATCACTTTTGAATATCTAAGCTTGAAAGTTTGAAAATGAAAACCAAACCCATAAGAATTAAAACATCTGCAGAACAACTTGTGTGTTTAACAAATTGAGCTAGTTCGAATGCTTGTGCTAGGCGATGAGGTAAATATGAATCATTTTTTTGATTATATTCTGCGTGAAGCTGCAAATTGGAATCTCAGCATTATATAGCATCGGAACATTTATCACCTCAATCTATTATTTGTTTAAAATATAATTATAAAAGTACTCAACTGAAGTGCCTCAAACCACCACTTTTCTTTATATGCAAGTTAGCATTTATAAGACAAAATATAAAAATATTTATGCAGCTAAAAGCAAAATATTAAAAAGTATACGTGAGCGACATAAAAGTTGATTTGATACTGCTCAATTTCAACTTGCACCAAGCCTACACCTTTTCCTCCAAACCAATCACCTCTTAAAAAAGGTTCAAATATACACTTGGAAAATTTTCTAGAAAAAACATGACCTTTAAAAAGACCTTGAAAAATGTATAATACAAAAGAATAATTAAACTAAAAATCAATCATTGGCTGCAAAAATTTGCAATTTTTAGTATATTACAATGAAATTATAAGTCAAATGCAGAAAGTTACAATCGTCAATAATAACATTAAATTAAAATACGATGTATCCATAATCAGCGACAGTTCCCTTATTTACAAGTCCTATTTTTTAGAAAATCTACCAAATCTGAGCTAGCTTACCTGTGTATATGATGAGCAAACCCATTTAAAGTAAAACGATACATTAAAGTTGAAACAATACGATGACGACTAAAGACACAAATACCACTTCCAGTAAAGCCACTATAAAAAGTATTTTGAATTAGTATGACTGTAAAATTCAGTTATACATTTTACAGAACTGAACTAAATAATTCCTTTTGACTTAAATTGTGATCCAACAATTTACAACTCACACTCTACCTATTCAGATATTTGTTTTGTGTTTATATACTTACAGTACCAAATCATACTGTAAAATGAGGTACACATCAATTTTGATGCACTGAGTAATAGTTCTACTTTTTCAAATATAAATACCTGTGAAAATAATGGCCGAAAGGATAGGGCTTTTCCAGTACTTCTCGCAACTGCAGAAAATCACTTTCGCACCAAACCTAAAATTATTGTGCTAAAATTGATAAACTGAATACAAATGATAAAATTGATAAATTGAATAAAAATTGCTCAATCTCCGACTTTTTTTATTTTATTGATTCATATTTTAATGTTGTTTTTTAAAAATACAAATGAAATGGCAAAATTCCTTCTAAAATCTACTAGCACTCAATCAGGAAGATGTTAGTTAGGCTTTATGAACAAAAATGGAAGTTAGCATGGGCAGTGAATAAAATTTAAACCTCTTCTAACGCAACAAAATCGTAATGACTTTCAAGTAAAGCTTCTTCGAGTTTTTTCAGCCGAAATAAATGATCACTGCTTCCAAATGGCCATTTCAAAGGTAGTGCCCTAAAAATAGAATTATCTATCAATTACTTACGAACTACTTATTTGCTTCCTTTCCCAATCATATACAAAATCAAGAAAAACTGTAAAAATACATTTTTTCAAATATTTCTAACAAAGTTTGATTGCTTAATTGAATAAATCAAAGGCTTTTCATACAAAGCTACCAGAATGTGGATAATGTAAATTCCCATAGACATAAAAATAATCGGAGCAATGCCAAAAAATCAAAAAATTGAATAAAACTAATTTTTTGATTAGAATTCAATGAACACAAACCAGCAATTGAGGCTGAGGACACGGACTTTTATCGCCATTGCTCGAATAATACACGTTATGTTCAAGGAAACATCTTGTTTCCTGAAATATAAAAAAATGCAGCAGTGAATCTGCTGACTGACGACATCACAAAATCATACAAAAACTAAACCCAATCTAAATTTTTGAACAGGTTGACACTACTTGATTGATAGTATTAATGAAAATAGAACACAAATAACACTCGAATACGGGAAATCAACTATATAGTTGTCCCTCTTTTTGAACACAATTGTTGTGAGTCAGTAATATAGTTGTATAAATTGAATGTCTCGGCTGAAAACTCTGTCCGCTATCCTCAACGTATTCCAATCTCTCTAGTGTTCTTCGATGGTAAAATTATGTCAAATATTCTTTTTTAATTGCAAACTGTTTGAAAGCTAACTAAATCCAATAAATGTATTTTTTCTTGTTCACTGTAGATATTAATACCACAGTGCCTATTAACAAAGTATAAGAATTTCACAAAGATGAGCAGAAATTAAATTATTTTTAGCAGAACAAGGACAAAATATAGAATGAACAAATGAGCTACTAAATGTTTATTTTTGCTCAACTACATAATTATTAATCATCTAGCTCGCGACAAATGCTTGATAATACCAATCCAATTCCAGCCACGCTCCTAAAAACATGAAATTACTTCTATTCATTTAGCTTGCATCAATTCAATTCGTTTATTTGTCAATTATGAGCTATTTACTTTGGCATCCAAAAAGAGTTTCTTTGCTCACCAAAACAATCCGTAACGCAATTACATAGTTATTACCAGTAAAACAAATAACTTCAACTTTTCCTTCCTTATGAAACTATTCACATTAATATCAACATCATTAGCAGAGAGTTCAATATAATCAGAATCAGAAAATTGGGAACAAGAACAAATCAGAAAAGAGCGGTTACAAAGCATATGTAATTTTCATTGTTCGAAATGTCTCAATACAATATAATATTGGGATTCAGATTAACCTTTTTGTCGAGTTTACAAGCAACTGTATGACTTCACATTCTTCTTTTTCGAGCTTTATTTGGTTGCAGTTATTTTAACTTCATTTGTTTGAGGCACACGGTCTATGTGAATCTTACTTTTAAAATCCACCTCTATGAAATCATCATATGCTTTTGTCTGAATTTGAAATTTCATCAAAGCATTATCACATATTTTAAGACTTTCATAAGCATATCTTTACAATGACGTGACTTTTATATGTACAACATGATCATCCTTGATGAATTTCCGACCGCAATTAAGCAAAATCTATCACGTAAATGATGGAATTGAATATGATTAATAGTTTAAAACCGTGGACTACTTGATTTCTCACTAAATACATGAAATTTCTCAAACGTATTCACCATATATGCAACACGTACCCCCCAATTTTGTCCAGTTCTAATCCAAACCTATTTCTTAATTTTTTCTCTTACCTAAAATAAACGTAAATAATGTTGAAATGTTCCTGTACAATAAATCGTAAAATAGTAGGGATCTAAAGAAATGGCTGAAGCTGTCGTTGGATGCATTTTTGACCTGAAAATCCTCAACATAGCTGACTTGTAGTTATTATCTTTGCCAAACTGCACTTAATCTACATTTATTATTTATGAACCTTTCAATATTGAAGCACAAATCATACTGAAGCACAGATATATTGAACATATTACAGCAAACCACAGCAAAATCAAAATAATACAGTGACACACTAAGAAATAACGCAGTACATGAAATCACTTTGTTTGAAAAGTACAAAACTTTGTCGCGGTGAGTACATAGTAGGGAACAGTAATCAATTTAACAACGCTTGCATGGATAGAATGATCAATTAATAATAATAGTTATAACTATGTAAAGAGGTAAATTAATGATCATGTATCGTAGAAGGAATCACCTTGTCTACGCTGAATGCTGGTATAAAATTACAGTAAAGTTGACTCAGTACCAAATTTATAAAATGTGATAAAAATAAAGAAGAAATAGCATGGAACTGCTGGCACTAATTACGGTAAAACTATCATCATTATTAAAAATCGACCGCGATAACTTCGTATGTTACTCTTCAGACACGTTCATCTAATCTAATATACTTTGAAAGCAAATTTCTTACAGACATAAGAATCCCATGAAAAAAAGAAGCACTTTCAAAATATTTATAGTCTCATGGCAGATTTATTTACTTAATACTTTTTGTATCAATGTCTAGCTGCGTACAAGACGATTCTTTTTACGATATGGTTACTAGTGTAACACTTTACATGATTCTTCTCTACACTACGAAGTGAATAAATAGACGGCAGAGATTGAAAATGTTTTAGAGAAAGTCTGCAAAAAGAGAGGGGAAGAAGAAAAAGAAAGGAAAATGGAAGAGAAAACGTGTGAAGTAAGAAAGAGATGAAAACATGTCATAGAGTCCATATGGTCTTGGATGTGAAATTTTGCTACGTTAATACTGTTTTAAATGCTGCAGTTGAATGCTACATATTACTCTTCTTCTTACTTCACACGTGGTGGCTAGTTTCTCTTTAAATTTTACAGTGTACGTCACCACTTATTAAAGCTTTTTAGTTTCTGTGTTGTCATAAAAAATTATGGCAACAAAGTTCAGTTCTGTCTTTTTTTGATTCACGTGTTGCAGTGCAATATTTTTGTCTTTCAAATGTCTGTCTTACGAAATTTAGATGTGCTGGCTGTGTTTTATCTGTTTGTTAGAAGTACTTCTGTATTTTGTTTTTTCAGCTCAAATGTCACAGTTATTGTGCCGATTACTTTCTGTAACACGTGGGGATTTGACCCGAATTCGTCTCAATGCTATGTCACGAACATTTAATACAGGTCAAGTGCGACGTACACAAGTAACAACAGGTCGAAAAATTTTCTAGTTAATGCTCTATCTTTTCGTTAAACTTCCCACGAAGTTTTCATAGTTATTGAAGCAATATGCAATTTTTACCTAATTATGTATTTATTGGCATTGTATTTTTGCAGTAATATAAAATTTCAATTTTATGGTTATGTGCATACGACTGTATTAAATTTTTAGTTGCACATTTGCGAATGCACTTTGTAAATTAGTGCTTTACAAAATATTCAAAGTAATAAGGCAAATGAGATTTGCAGATTACGATGAGGAAGCAGATGATCGTGATCGTTTCAAGTATGATAAATACTACAATGCAGCAGTTGCGGTAGGTACACCAATAATGTTGTCTATACTTATATATATGGCTTATTTGGGACACACTTTAGAAGAACATTTCGACCAAGACAAATATATCAATTACCCCTATCTAACTATTCGGAGAAATGTTAGTTTTAGTTATAACTTTGGCTTGTTTTTTCTTCACAAATTTGCTGATATTTCAGTGTGTGCATGGTTTTTTAATGAACAACATAATTTGAAGCTTCAAATTTATTAATTAATAACTGTTTTGATTTCGATTTTTCCAAATTTCTAGCCACTCCCTTGGGGTGATGGGAATCATGCTTTATTCCATAATAAAGAGAAGAATTATGTGCCGGGTGTTGGTTTTGAAAAGAAGCAGGAAAAACATCACTGATTGCAGCTAGTGATTTCAAAAATTTGTATCAATTCGAATTTATTTTGCAAATCATTTTTTCATTGCGTGTCGATTTCTCTGCTTTGTAGTTCATATCTAAATAATTTTTGAATGGGATCGTCTGGCAAGGTATTAAATACTTTTAAATCCTAATAATCTAACTGCAATGATTTAGGAAAAAAAAAGTTGATGTGTGATATCTAAAAAGTTGGACAAAAAGGTTTTGAAATAAGATGAAGTAAAGTATTAATTTTTCATCTTTAGTATTTTCAGTTTTATTTCTCTTGCTTTTAGTTATAAATTGAACTTTGATATTTCAATTTAATACTTTTGTAGCTCTTTTGGTGATGGTAAACACTCTCTCAGTACTATGCACCCGATCAAAATTTAGGTATAGGACGATCTCAAGTTTCTCGTAAAACACTGCGATTCATTTTTTGGGTTTTTGTAAATTTTCAAGATAATTATGTTCGAAAGTGACCGGATGAATTTTATGTAAATATGTATGTCAGTAAAGACTGATTAAAAAATTTTTACGGTTGTTTCACGCTGAAATAAATACTAATAATTTAAAATATTTTGGTGAAGTAAACATGCGAAACTCCTATAAATGTATTCAGGTATCGTTGGTTCGTTCTTATGTTTTTAAAGCTGTTTTGATAGAGCATCTTTAAATGCATTACTTAGTTGAGATTTAACTATACTGTCATTGCTTTTAAGATCATGGAACGAATGTGAGGTCACGTTTTTGCTGTTTAAATTGGTGTTCATAATATTCATACATAAGATCCAAAACTTCTACAGTTCTGCAGTTAGGCAATTCAGTTGGTTAGCCAATAATGTGAATAAAACTTTAGTCAGAAACTTCAAACTATAAAGGACATTAAATTAAGAAGTTGATGAGAAACAAATGCGGAGCAGATAAAGGATGAAATGAAACAACGTGAAAAGTAAACTAACAAAAAAATCAACTAATTGTCATGAAAGTAAAAAAGATGTCTTGTGTTGAGGATAGGTGGATTGCCTTGAGTTTCGAGTCTGGCTTTTTCTAAATAATTTGGTGTTTTAATGGAATTTTCAGAAAACTCGTAGCTGTACAGTTTCTTGTATAAAT